CATTATGACATTATATCTAAAAAGTAAATACTATTTTACTGTTTGCAAGCAAGTTTATTTCATTAACCATTTTAATGTCACTCTTAAGAATGCTTGCAGCAGGACTTCTCAATTTCTCTCAGATGTTCAAGCACATTACCTACTGTGAAGACTGCACAGCTGTAAATCATAGTTGATTTTGATGAAACATATAACTCTGGATATTGTATTTATTTAAAGGACTTGAAAAGCAGAATATTTAAATGGTACTGATCTGTAGAAAATACTGTTCAGAATAGCTTTAGTTAAAAGTACAATATCAAATCTCGTCCCCCCTCCTTTACATAATGGAACCTGTCCTCACACTCTGGGACCTGTACCCAAGAGCTACAGTTAGGGCCTGGGAGTGGAACTGGGGGGCATTTCTCCACACTCCCTGGGGGAAAGGGGGTGCACCCTGCAGATCTGAGTACACCGATTTAGTTAATAAATGCTAAATTCTACAGAAGCAATCTCCTAAAGGAAATCAACTGAATGCAATTATAGTTACTATCTGTCCAAACACTGTAATTAGTTTAATTAAAAGTAGTTTAATGTTAAAAAAAAAAAAACACACAACACTGTACTTACATTTTAGAAATTGTTTAAGAGTTGAAACATACTCTGCATATGACTTGGCATCAGACTTGTTAAAATAAAATTCCAGTGCAATGACTGGCTTTGGTGAAATCATAAGTCCTTATAAAGAAAAAAAAAGTAAAAGTCAGATATTAAACAACTATTTTCACATACATACCATTTCTTATTTTTCAGACAAAACATTTTTCAAATCATAAACAAACCAATATGAAATTTCAATGTTATTTTCATACTATACAACCATGTTTTGATAGATTTTTAAAATCATCAATACCAAAATCTGAATAAAAGTTGTGATTTAAATGCGAGCTACAATTAGAATTCATAATAAACCAAAACCCAAAAGATTGAGAATAGAAAAATTAGCCAATCACATGCAGTTTTAAAGTATTTTACTGATCAGTTTTACTTTGTACTTTCCATATTCAACAAAAATTTTAGTAAGGCTTCTTTGTTTTAAAAAAATTAATTTTTAGATAAGTGCTGTGCAAAAGAGCCCAGTAGACAGCTTCCCTACCTTCAGTTTACTTACTCGGTATGCAACAAGAAGCCTGAGTATTTTTACATATTCTTAGTTCCATTATATATTTGTTCTATAATGGAGATATGAAGTATTTCTAGTGATCTCCTATGGATACTGCTCAAACCTACTAATTTTAAATGAGTGGTTTATAAAGCCAGACATGCTTTACATAGTAAAGCACTGGAAGCTAATACCATTTTAATTTTAGGGTGACCCACAGAGAACAAAAAAGGACCTGCACCTTAAACAAATACTTAGGTCTTTCTAATGCATGCATGCAGATAGCAACAAAACTAGTAGAATGACATGGCAAGCACTGAGTAAGCAAAACCTGGCCTACTGAGAATATAATTTTTATTTACATAGCTTAAAACAACTGATTAACCTATATAACTTCATAAGAAAAACCTTGTAGAAAAAAAAATTGTTAAGGATGTAGTATCTACCCACTCCGTATCTTCAATTAAAAAAAAGAGAGAGAAAAGAAAGGCATTTCCCAGGCCTTCTTTATGCATCATAAAAGGGGGGAAAAGGGTGACAAAAAAACAGTTCCCCCCTCTCCGTGGGTCACTGAATACATTTATTATTTAAATATATTTAATCATGACACATTGATCCAGAAATATATGGAAAGTACAACTACGTAGACCAAACCCAGCAGAGTTTCATTGCAAGCCCCATGTGAAGAAAATGGTGTTTTGTTTTTTAAAATTGGGACAGAATGACTTCCTGAGACGAACATTTTATATATTCCTTTTGAAAGCACACTTCTTGACTCAGTCACCTTTTCTATGGGGCTCACAAAAGCATAGGTTCTCCTTCTCAAACCAGCAGCAGCTGTTTCCCAGGGCAAGCACCAAGTCCTATCTAAATGCCAATATGATGGTCTGATACATGAAACTATAAACCCTATTTTGGTTGATTAATGCCATTTTTACTTTAAACTGCACTGTACCTTCACTGTTGTCTTTTAACCTCCATACTGAACTGGAATTCCATGAGGTGTCAGCAGAGGGCTAACAATGGAGAGTAATTAAGAACCATTAACATGGAGGGTTTTCCATTCAAATGGTCACTCCCTAGGAAAAGCAACTAGCTAGTTACAGTCCAGAAGAACCAGTTATCCCAAGTGGGGCTCTAAGCAATGTGTCACCTGACAGGAACTTGAAAGGAGGGAGGATGGCTCACCTGAATTTTATACAAAGGAGGCTCTCAATTTTCAAACTAGCTATTTTAAGAAACAAATCCAGAAAAAGGCTGCAAGACTGGGCAGGAGAAAGAGCAAAGAATGCTGTAGGGATCTTGGAAGGATTGACCAAACCTGGTTCTTTGGAGTGCCAATGCCACTGGAATAAGTGGTATTTTTTGTACCGAGTTAGGTTATTTTCTCATAGATCTGTGTCTCTCTTGTGCTTTGGATAAGAGATATGCTTTATAAATTCCTTTATAAAGTTTATGTTACTTGCTTTAACTATCACATAAGTTTCCAAAGAATGAGATATTGTTTCAGTGGAACTCTGGGAGCAATATAACAAACTGGGGAGGCATGGAGAGAATTAGCATTGCAGTCCTGCTGTCTAAATTCTGAAAACAAAGTCCCACAGCCTCCAATGCCATGAGGCAGTGTACCTCAGGTTCCCCTTCCATACAGCCACACAGATTTGTTGCACCATTGCTGCCATGTCCAGCTCTAAGCCTGTGTACAGTTTATTTGCTTAGAAGCTGCATGATCATAGGATTCTTTTGCTTCTGTCCGCAGCAAGCACAAAAGTTTTTCCAAAAAACTCACGTTACATACTTTCAACAGGTTTATTGTCCACATCACTTTCTTTGTGCTGATCCATAAGCATTCTAGGAAAAGACTAAGGATACCAGCAAACCAAAAAGGTTGTTATATCTCTACTGCAAGAACATGCGAGGAGACCCAACCATAAGAAAGTGACTGGACTCTGTCAAGACCCAACCAGTCTAAGAGGATGGGGGATCCAAGATTGGGGACTTTTACAGCAGCCTGGTAAACTTCCACAAGAGGAACTAATCAATGTTTTTAACAGATAAATTTAATGATCTGATAGCACTTACAAATGGAAAGTGAGCCCAATTTTATAGTCATAAACTGCCCTGATGCCAAATTCGAGACTGACTTATTCTTGGTATATTTCATGGAATCAGAACTGAAAAGAACCTCGAGAGGTCATCAAGTCCATTCCCCTACTGCAGGGATGGGCAAAAGGGCCTCTGCAGGCTGGATCCGGCCCACGGAGGCCCTGCTCTCTTTCCTGCCCCCAGGCCAATCAGGACTTGAGGGTGGGGGGGGGGGGGGGGGGGGGTGGCAGGGGCGGAAGAGAGCACAAGAAGTTTCCTCTGTCCTGCCAGGAGTGCACGGTGCTTAGAAGCGCCATGCACTCCTAGCAGGGCGGGTGGAGACTTTGCATGCTCGCCTGCCCCCAAGTCCTGATTTGCCTAGTGCCGGGGAGAGTGCAAAGATTCCTCCAACCTGCCCCCATCCTGCAAGGTACGCACAGTGCTTAGAAGTGCTGTGCTTCTGACAGGGCGGGAGGAGACTTGACATGCTCCCACGCTCCCAAGCCTTGATTGGTCTGGGGGCAGAAGGGGAGCACGCGAAGTCTCCTCCCACCCTGCCCAGGAGCGCATGTCGGTGTGTGTTTCTGGCAGGGCGGAGAAAACTTCGTGCACTTCCCCTGCCCCCAGGCCGTAATTGGGACACATAGAATACTGATGTAACATCTCCTCCTGCACCCTTCTGGTGCAGCCCAAGGACACTTTAAAAATTTTGGAAGTGGTCCCCAGCAAAAATTATTGCCCACCCCTGCCATAGTGAATACTATTACACCCTCACTGAAGATAAATCAAATGACCATTACAGAAATTAGGGATGTTAGCAAACATGTTTTTTTGAAATGTTTAGCTACTGAATTTCTCAGTGGTTACACATTTACATGCAGGGGTGGCAGGCGGGACCTGGTGCTCAAGGGGAGCTGGCTTTTAAGCTGCCCCTCTTCCCCTCTCTAAGGGCCAGATCCCCCTCTTCTTCCTTCACTCCTGCACCAGCTCCCACTCCTCCTCCCACCCCTTGAGGCACCACGGGAGGAGTGCATGCAATAGTTAGGATTAACCAATGAGACCATGCTTATTGGTTAATCATATGAACTACATGCTAACATCTCTCATAGAAATCAGGTAATTTGATTTTTGTAACTAAAAATTAAAAATAAAAAAACCCTTTGACCTGTGTGTGCATTTTTATATAAATTTAAGATTTATAGACAGGTCTATAACATGTTACACTGCAAGTAAAGACATGATAAAGTTAAGGTAAATGCAATAAATGTCCAATCATAAAGAGATAAAAATTGAACAAAAACATGCATTATTATAATACTCTTCAAATAGGAATACATTATTCAGTTCTTAATTTACAGAAAACACAAAATTAAAAATATTAAGTAGCAATCCAAGTATCACAATCTTTCTACCTTGAAGTTCTTTGGTTAATACATTACAGCTAAGCTGCAAACTTAATAAGACACATTTATTGTTAAGAGAAAAAGCAAACCAATGCCCCAAGCTGCAAAAGGTATGGAGTGCAATCATTTTAAATGTAACTTTCTCCACACCCCTCAAGCAAAAATCACAGCCTCTATGATACTGGAATTGTCAAAATCACAGTAGAATGTCAACACAACACGGAAATGAGGGAAGGAAGTCAGATGAGTTGCTTTTTTGTCTGCTTTGTTATAAATTTCAGGATTTACACTTTATTTTATACACTAGAATATTCTATGGTTTTAAAAGCTTAAAGAACCATGTTGAGGAACAACTGAATACCAAGGTCCTGAAACTGAACAAAGCACCTTAAGCTACATCTATACTAATGAGAAGATTGATGCTGTGGCAGTCAATCTTCCGCTATTTGATTTAAAGGGTCTAGTAAAGACCTGGTAAATTTAACACTGAGGGTGCCCCAGTCGACCATAGTACTCCTTGCTGTTGTGAGGAGTAAGGGAAGTCAACAGGAATGTTTCTCCCATTGAGAACTCCAAATTTTGGCTTATGATACATCAACTCCAGTTAAGTTATTTATGTAGCTGGAATTGCATACCTTAAGCTGACCTTTGTAGCGCAGACCTGACCTTAAAGATCATAAGCAAAATTACTGAAGGGCAATGGTGATGTTTTGTTCATGGACAGTACCGTGCTGGTGGACTTAGATAAGAGGAAGTCAATCAGTGTAATAAAATATACAACATAATGCTAAAAAGGAAAAACATGGCTAAGGTGACAGACATGTGGATTCTATGAAAGTTGAAATTTCGACATGCACATTGCACAAATGTTGTAAGGTGACAGACATGATAAGAAAACTGCGTGGATTCTATGCAAGTTGAAATTTCGACATGCACATTGCACAAATGTTTAATGTTTATTGGAAGAAAGCTAATTAATGTGTGAAGTGAACAGAGTCAGAATACTGGACTAGCCACTGAAATGACCATTCTGAAGAGTGTCTCAATACTCAGTAACTGCTGAGGCTTCTACCTGCTCTGTATTAGCT